AGCCTCGTCTCCCCTCCCGGCCACTGGAGGCCCCTTCCCAGAACCCTGGCTGGATGATGTCACAGACAGGTGACCTCACCGCGGCAAAGGAACCGGGGATCTCAGTGTCATGGGGGAGGGGCGAGGATGTTCCTCCACCACCCCAACCCCCCATGTCTGTGGTGAAGTCGATCGAATTAGTGTTGCCCAAGGATGTGGTCTACCCGGCCGGCTCCAGCATAGAAGGGCAGGTGGTTCTCATACTGAACAGCACCCTGGTGAACCCCATGGTGAAGGTGGAGCTCGTGGGAAGGGGTTACGTGGAGTGGAATGAAGAAATCGGGGCATCCCGTGATTATAGCAGGGATGTTATTTGCAACAACAAGGCCGACTATGTGCACAAGACGAAGACATTCCCAGTAGAGGGTAAGGACCAAGCCAGCAGCCGACTCTAGCCATGATAGGAAGCTGGGTCTGGAAGGTAAACACATGTGTTAGTTGATCAACAAACCCCCAGGGATACCAGACAGGGGCAGAGGCCTGGTTCCTCCCCAGGAAGGAGGCTATGTATAACAATGACCATCAGATACTCACAACACGAAAATAACAAGACAGGAAGAGCCGAGCAGGACCCAGCTATTCGAAATGAACTATCAAAGTCGTTCCCCTGGAAAATGCTATCCTTAGCCCCATGACCACTTTGGGAGGCCAGTAAAAAAATCTTTCTTGTGATTTTACAGATGAATCTCCCTCTAGCAGTGAACTCCGAGGAGACAAAGATAAGGAATCCTATGGTCACCGGGAAAGAGAGAGGGGCAGGGAAGACATTCTAGGGAAAGAATAACTCGGCCCCGGCTCCACGAGGTTCAGATCCAAAGTCTGGACAGACACCAGGGAGGCTGAGCTGCCCTGGAGCTACATGTCCTTTCCAAAATGTGTTCACGGGGGTGTTCCCGGGTGTTCCACAACTCTTGGCCAATGCTCAGCTAGACAAAGTTTCATTCTAGAATTTTAAAAGTTTTAGATAGGGAGGTCACGGAGGTCCCTTCAAAGAGGTGACTACTGAGCGATGGGAGGGACACCAGCTGTGCAGATTTCTAGGGGTCGGAATGGTAGGGGCGGGCGCCTGGATGGCTCGGTCAGTTAAGCGTCCGACTTCAGCTCAGGTCACGACCTTGTGGTTCGTGGGTTCGAGCCCCGCATCGGGCTCTGTGCTGACAGCTCAGGGCCTGGAGCCTGCTTTGGATTCTGTGTCTCTTTCTCTCTCTCTGCCCCTCCCCCGCTCACACTCTACTTCTCTCTCAAAAAATACACAAACTTTAAAAACATTTTTTTAATTAAAAAAAGGAAAAAGAAGGTTCTGGGGCAGGAACGGCCCCATGCCAGGCCTTACTGGCCAGCAGCCGTGTTGCCTCTCCGTGTCTCAGTTAACCTATCTGGAAAATGGGAGACAGAAAGTCTTGCCTCATAAGATTGTTTTGGGGACTTAGTGACCTAATGGTATACGAAGGGCTTAGACTAGCGTGGGGCACACAGGAAGGCGTCATAAGTGTTACTTTTTGCAAGCAAACAGTCCCCACCCAGACCTCCCCCAGCGTCAGATACCAGCCTTTCTGATTGCCCAGCATTCCCCCCCCCCCCCACCAAAGCATGAGCCCAAGCGTGTTTGTTGAACGAATGAATGCGTGTCTGAAGGCAGGACCTCCAATTTTGCAGATCCAGAGTAGCGGTGAGCACATCCCCGTGGGTAGCTTGGGGTGACCACCGCAGCCACATCACCCGCCCGGGGCCATCCCCCTCCAGCCCGGCTGAGGCCTAGGCCTGAGATCTGTAGACCATGCAGAGCCCTAAAAGCACAGAGCTCAGCCTAGCTCGGGGATGGGCGGGCCAGGCCCAGAACAAAGCCCTTGCCAAAATAATAAATAAAAAGTGGGGGGAAGAAAAAAAAAAAAAGATTCTAGAACCTTCTGATGGCATTGGTGTGTTTTGCTTTCAGGTAATTGGTTAAGTGCAGGCAGCCACACCTTTGACTTCCATTTCAACTTACCTCCCAGGCTTCCTTCTACCTTTGCCAGCAAAATTGGCCACGTCTCCTACTTCGTGCAAGCCTCCTGCATGGGTCGGGAGCACGTTCTAGCGAAGAAGAGAATGTACTTGTTGATTCAAGGGACTTCAGACTTCCATCAAGAAAACGCACTGCAGGTAGTGATAGGAGAGGAGCAGGGGTCGGACTTGTCCTCAAAGCTCACGGGAGGCAGGGGGAGGTGGGAGGGCAGGGGACAGAGGTGGCCCCCACCAGGAAGGAGGAAAAGGCACGGATGGTTCCCCAGGCCAAGTTCACAAAAGGTGAATCAGAAACCAGGGCAGGCGCAAGGCTGGGGCTCTCAGCCCGGACAATTCTGCCTCCCCAGGGGGCACTGGGTGGTGTCCAGGGACATTTGTGGCTGTCACAGCTGGGGGGAGGGGAGCTACTGGCATTGAGTAGGTAGGGCCAGGGCAGCTGTTCAATACCTCCCAGTGCCCTGGACGCCCCCTACAGAGAATGAGTGGTCCCCAATGCCCTTGACCCTGCAACAAGTCAAGACTAAGCAGAGACCTCCCTGTGACCCACGGGTGAAAAAGGTGCCTGGATGCTCGGTGACTCTCCAGGGTCTTTGAGCCCTCAGACAGCAGAGATGGTGCCCCCACAAAAAGAGGCATGGAAGGGGGTGGCCTCTGGCCCTGGAAAAGGAAAGGCCATGTGATGTTGGTCTGGCTAAGCAAAGGAGGTTTTCTAGATGGTTCCTGGAGGGCCAGGTGCAGAGAAGTCAAGGTAGAAGTCAAGGTGGGTGGAGTGACGTTGGGCCAAGTAACTTCCCTGGGGACTCCTATCAGATCATAGTGGCTCAGATGGCTGGCATTTTAGTTTTCGAGATCCAGGTAGGAATCCCAGAGCCCACCCCCCCCCCACCTCCATTTCATGTTTCATGTAAATCCC